TACCAGTGAGCTTCTAAATATCCATGACATGCTTGACTTGATAATAGAGTTTTCTGGCAGTTTTGTCTGTAGTTAATTGTTTATTCTGAGGGCTTTCTTGTGTTTATTCGCATAGCTGGATAGCAGTCTACGAACTCTTTTTTGTTGATGTCTTGTTTCTTGCTTCAGTCTATGTATCTTGTTTCATATGTCATGTTTACAGATTAATCGGTGGGGATGATCGGTAGCCAAGGAATTCGAGTCTTCTGCCCGACAGTGTCGTTGCTGCGTTCTTTTCATACTTCTCTGAATAGGTTGGCAACCCTGAAAGATAGTATGTGTTTTCCGTTTGTTTTGTTATTATTACAGTATGATGTAGTCTCCATTCGACTCAAGTCGGTGAAAAACATCCAGAAGATCACCCAAAGTATGAAAATGGTTGCTGCTGCAAAATATAACCGTGCCGAAAGAGAACTTCGTCCTGCAAGACAGTACGGTCAGGGATCTCTTGGTGAGTTATTAGAAGGAGAAGTTTTCTCGCATGATGCTATCAGAATGGCGTGGCATTCTCTTTCCACCACAAAGGAAAAAAATAGAAAACAAATGCACGTGAAAAAAAAACAAAAATTCTGATCGCTCTAAATATGAAGAGTTGAAATGTACAGTATATATTTTCTGCTGTCAGGTTGTTTGAGATTTCTGGAGAGATGGAGCAGGTATGATTGACCGGCTAGACGATTCTGTGCGCCTTGAAGTAGCTGATCCTCTAGTGCTGAGCTACGCTGGGACGGTATTCCGGAATTTGATATTGGTCAAAGGCGAGTAATCCAGCGATCAGTGATTTTCCCTGTGATAGTTTATGCGATCGACTTAATAATTTCGACCGAGTAGATTTTGTTGATGTTTTGTTGATCAGTAAAGCCACTGAAAAACCTTTGAGTTCTAGTTTTTTGATGACTTTGTACGAGAATGATTTTTACGAGACGGATATACAACTTAGCGAATTCTGGCAAAAATACCTAAAAAAATAATGATGCGTACTAACTTATACTAATTATAATCTGTTCGGATCAGCAGTTCAGTAGTGGATCATTTTAGATGATTTTTGCTGAAAACCAGCCTAAAACACGCTTGTCACTAGCAGTTAATTGTTTTAGAGCCAGAAGACCTTCTGGTATGGACTAAAAAACAGGTTTCTGAATTAGTAAATCATTACCTGAAGTTTACTGGGGAAAACGGCAGCTGATTGGGAGCTACAACTGAGCAAGACCAATTTAACTTATGCCATTTATATGAGAAATTCCTAGAAATGTATGTCGGCATGTGGCAGTCATCACTTCCTAAATTAGGGATTTCACTAGATCGCCTCAGATAATTAAGGGTACAATCTAAGAGTCAATGAACCTCTCCAAACGTCGTTTTACTTAACTTCCTTGATAAGTTGAAGTAGCATTAGAACGTGCCTATACATTATGCGTCTTGAAATCTCGCCCAGACCTATCTTATTAAAACAGCTGCCATTGTGCTTCATGCAGTTACTCTCCCTCCAACATGAAGTGGATTGCGATCTATGTCTATAAAAGTGAATTAATTAATATGATAGCCAAC